ACGCTCGTGGTGAGTTTCTGGCTTTTTTTTTGCTGCTTGGAAACGGGGCGTGTGCTGATGGTTTTTTGATTGCCGTTTTGCAGTACGACCCGTAAAAAAAAAGTAGTCTGATCGCACGAGTTTGTGCTTTCGAGATTTGCATGCTTTCGATGTGTTGTTGCCTTCTAGCTCCTGTTGTCGTATGCTCTGTATTCATGTAATAACAATCAACCTCTCGCTGTTGTCCGACGCCTGAGACTTGCGATTCCCCCTGGAATCGGCATCTTGGATTCGAGGTGGCAGGATAGGAGGGTGGACAGGAGCCTAATAGACGCTCACCATTTGGCACCCTGCCTTGCCGCGCCGCGCGCAAGCTTGCGCACGACATGCTTTGAGACCTAGTGCATGAATTACAATATTATTTTATGTTGTAATCTCGCCTGCAAAAGCACTGTAGAGCTAACGACAATGTGGATAAATGGCATTGCGGCGCTATGTTCAGCAGTCCGCAGCTGTCCCAAATACTTTTCGCTTATGTATCTTCTCCTTGGGGGGAATCGATTTATGAGGTGTGTTTAGCGTCCGGGCGCCTGTTCTCGCATGTTCAACTGCGTCTACCGTCCAGTCCGACTATGGCGTTACTCGTGTGGACAGACCCACGACCGGATATTCGTACATCGTTTCAGGCGTGGGAGGCCACTTGGGAACATGATTTCAAACGCAACTACGAGCCGCCAAGTCGTCTGCCGGAATGCGGCAGCGCTTCGCGCCTGTACAGGGATAACGTCGCGCTTTTTAACACAGGGCCCTGGTTTCTGTGCGTGGCGAGGCTGGCAAAGAATCTTTTCATGGAGCAGACCAGGCTCCCGACGATGGCCAGCGACATATGGGACAGCTTCGAGGTCGAATGGAGGGCGGCCTCTGAAGAGCGGCGGAAGGCGTCTATAGAGGAAGGCATACGCCGCGTTATGGTCTCAGCCCCATTGTCTCTGCGTGAAGACCAGAGGCAATGGTGCCCTGAATCCTCGGTCGAGCACCTTGTCTCAGATTACGGGCAGGGATATCTCGACCTGGCGATGTCTCTGACGTTGCCCATGTCCGTCGTGATCTCTGGAGACATTGCCCCGGTCCTTCCACCTCACCCTGCCATTGATCGCATCGAAAAGCTCTCGACTCATGAACGCAACACTCCCGGCTATAAAACAATCATTCGGACGCACATTCTCACGAGAGCCATGTTTTTGACTCGTATAGTCCGAAGTGTATTCGTGTCTTTTGTAAGTTCCCTTAATTCGCATACTAGCATAGCCCTATTAAGTCTGCCTTTCCAGTCCAAAAAAATGCTACCTTTCCAGTCCAAAAATTATGTAGAGATCGCCAACCGTCCAAGCTTCAGCTTTGCAGCGTGCAAGTCGTGGCGTCAGCTGGCTGCCTCTCTCTCCTCCAATGAAGAGAGACTAGTTCACGACGAATTCATGGAGGCCTTCCCAGGCGCAGCAAATAGGAGCAGTTACCCATGTAACTCTTGCGGCTTTTCCCGGACTGACACAAAGCAAGAAGGTAGCAAGAAGCTTCGTGCCTGTAGTGAATGTCGCAGGATCAATCGGCTCGTATTTTACTGCTCGCAGTTAGTATTATTCACCCACTGCTTGCTGCTTCGATGCCTCAGCGTGCAAACACTAATGATCTGCTATAGAGAATGCCAGCGCCGTGATTGGAAGCAAGGGAAGCCGTACCCGCACAAAGCAATCTGCGGAAAGCCTCTCACCGAGCAAGACGTTCCTGACATCCCAACCACGAAGAGCTTCTTCTCTGCAGACGGTCTGATACCAGATGCAGAGCCACAATTCCAGCGGATTCGGTCAACTACTCTCTACAATCAGATTGCGCTTCTGCTGAAACACGTCTGCGTAGATTACTTCGTACGTGACTAAGCTCGTTTCTACGAACTGAAGGTGTGCTGACGTTTGATGACTTAGATCTATGTGCCGAATGATACCGGTGTCTACAAAGGAAGGTCTGTAGTGTTCGATCTCGGAAGAAAGCCTCAGTTTATCTTACATCGCAACCGAGGTAAGAATGGGCATTTTTGGATTATAGACATATCTGACCACGTCCACGTAGCTCTTAAACGTGGTAATCACTCGGCTATACAAGCCATGTACGCGCTCCTCGTCGGAAGAGGTTCGGAGGTGGAAGCGGGGATGTCGCATATAAATTATGACAGGCCGATCCCTCCATCGCTGATTCACTCGCAGCTTGAGCTTGAATTTGGGGTCACAATCGACACCACACCGCTTTCCGTATCAGATCTGCACCGCCTCTGCACGGACGCCACCTCTGAAGAGCTCGCATATATAGACCGCGCACTTGATAAGTCCATTGACAGGCCGGCGAAGGAGAGGCTGGAATTAAAGGAGTTTCTCAAGAGCAACAGTCCAACTCCGTACCTTATAAGCTGTTGAATAACGTTCGCTATGTGCGTATGGGTACCAGGTAGTAATGACGAATTGTATATCGCCGTAGCTCAACATCCAACCGCTCGCTGTTTGGTCGCTATGCGTGTTTGAGACTCTCGCCGCAGAATTTGGCGTCCTTTGTAACGCGAAAAAGGCCGAGCGGACATGGCCCTGCCGAGAAAAGACAAGATTACCGCTGTCTTCTCGAGCCTTGTCACATTCTGAAGTGTGAAAGGACGCACATCTAAACATGTTACCCTCTCTTCCTGGCGTTGCCTCCTGCTGATGTGCGCTCGGTCGTAAGACTTCGGGCCAGCGGCCGGCGAACAGATCCCGCCTCTAGGGCTCGTCTGACTCCCACCTCGTGAAAGCAAAGTCCTAGCCAATGAAGACGCAACATCACACAAGCCCTGAATTTGGCCACCGTGGCTCAAAGCGCCTGACTGCGTTTACGAACTTCGAAGTCACGGTGCCAGGCTGCGATACAGAGTTCCTTAACTTCCCTGTCGGATATTATACGAGTACAGTTCTTCCCATGTTCGACCGAGAGGAACCGCGAGCCAAAACAGAGAGTACCCGACGTGGTCTCAGTTGGACGTAACATTGGTGTCCCGCGTCGTCGCGAATCCTACCTGGTTGTTACCGGCGTCCCAGACAAAGTAGAACCTCTCTAGCCACACGAAGCCGTTAACGAAGTCCAGGCCTTCACCCGAGGTGAACCAATGTCCCCGATTGCGAGATAAATACTGTCCGCGTTGCCGCCGATGTCAGTGTTCAGCTTTGAAGACGCAGATGAGCGAGTTACGCAGGATATGAGAAAGAGCAACGCACGACACGAGGCCAGATTTGCGCATTCGGGATGAACTCATATGTAGTCTGATGCAGCAGTGAGTCCGACTTGTAGGATGATACCAGAGAACAAAAACGTACATCGCCGATATTGAAGAACAGGCTCTGTAAATTAGCGAACTGCGCAGGAGTGATGCTCAACAGACCCGTGGTCGGGTCGAGCACCGCACCAGTGAGCTGTTGGTAGGTAGCAAAGGCATCTGTCGACAGCATTCATCACCTGGTCGGGCCATGCCAAGGCGAAACGGCTTACCAGAGGCCAGAAGGAGCAGAGTGGTACCAGTGTCGACAATGCCAGCGGTCTCGCTGAGGATGGTGGTGGATCCGTAGGCGACGGATTGGTCGATACCCACAAACTGATTGGCAGGGAAAGTGGTGGTCATTGGCCTGAGGGCAGGATACTTGAGCATTCCATGAATGCACGGCAGGCGGGATGGGTTCTGCTTACACGAAGAGAATATCGCTAGTAAGGTCTATCGCAGACGGATCAGTGCCACCGAGAGCGAGCTGCCCATCTGAGCCCGAAAGGCTGGTCACCGGCTCGAAGAATATGCCAATCTCCTTTGAATCGATGAGACCTAGGGAAAACGCATTGTCCAGGACCGTAGGCACCAACGCGCCATTAGAGGTGGTACCTGTGCCCGATGATTAGACAGTCGAAAGGGAACGACGTGAGACAAACCTGCAGTAAGGTCAGTTGGTCCTAGACTGTCAATGTAATAGGTCGGTGTTCTCCGGCGTACAGCTCTGAAACTTTACTCACCCTAAGATGCCGTCCACTCCCTCAAAGCCTTCAAAAGACGAGGCAACGCCAATAGCTTGCTGTGGAATTGTCACAAATTCTGTGAAGGACAGTTGGTCGAGGAACTCCTCGCCTGAGACATCCGACATTTAGTTGCATTCGACGTTGTTTAGAAAACATGGAGATTTACCGATGAAGGATCCAGTCTCGTACTGGACAAACTGAATCACGGGATGAGCGCGGTGATAAATCGCTGAAATTTCCGCTCACCATTTCCACACCAGTATCGTGGGAGGAAGGCATCACTGTGTATGGGCGACCCGCGCCGAGCCAAGTGTTGGCACTGCCAGTATCCACGATGAGAACATCTGTGTGACCAAAGAATGAGCTTAAGCTAGTTATGAGGCCGTATAATTGCATTATCACTTACAAGTGGTCGGATCGCTGCCGACCTCTGTCTGAAGGCTAGATATGAGCATAGAACGCCCGGTGTAACGTAATGAGCCAGGCTGACAAACACAGTGAACTGGAACGCCGTGTTTGTGGGTGAAGCGGTAGGGATGGTATCGGAAAATGTGGCATTGGTGCTCTTCTGCATGGCACTCTGCTGGAGGAATTTCGCTCTAGCCTGGTCGCGCTCCATAATGGTTTTCGGCCCAGTTGCATTAAAGCGACGGGTGAGCGGCAGCGTCACTGGGCTCTTGCGAACGGTCAGCGAGGTCGCCGCCGCAAAGAGCGCGAGGTAGCTTGCGACAAAGATATGAGAGAACATCTCTACTGCTTAGAGACGAGGGGCCCGACCTGTTTTAGAAAGAGCAGATGATCCTGTTATATCTATGCGACTCCAGATTTGCTTGATCAGTGTGCCTGGCCCGTTGCGTATGTGCATTCACATTGGGATGCGAGCGGTCCGGAGTTTATAGCATTGTCATACAATCGTGGCTCGTGGCACAATCTATAGTCAATGAGATAAGGTGGGAATGCGGCTGTGCCGGGAGAAGGGAAGAAACACATATAGGACCCAGCACTTTACGACAGCCGTCGAAGTGTGCATCCTAGGCCCGAGTGCGGTAAGTAAAGATGCGAGAATTTCCTATAGTAGCATCAGAGCGGCAGTCATGATAATAGGATGGTATACGTCCCTGGAAAATTACCATATGCAGCGGTTTTTTGAGAGAACATATTGATCTTGTGTCTGAGAAGTATCTCATGGTCTTCTGGCTCAGTGGGGGGGGGGGGGGGGGGGGGGGGTCACGCTGAGCGGCGGTCACGTCGTCACGAGGCCGCCGCTCTGGCGGCCTATTGTCACACGTCACACCCACCGCCGGCTGGTCGTACAGTGATACCCGTGACTATTGCTCAGTAAGCATGGCTGTCGACATCCTCCAAGCTATGTTCCATGGGAAACTGGGAAGGGACATGTCAACTGTGAGCATTAAAAACATTGAACGGCGCATCTAGACTCACCGCTATTCGGGCCCTGCTCCCCGGAATGCCCCTGGCAGGGCGGTTCGAGGCACCAGCCATACATGCTTCTCGCGGGAGAGCCGCACTTGCAAGCCCTGAACGTTAAATTGCATATGATCTACGGCCTTCTCTACGATCATTTGAAACCCTACGAATTTAATATGCTCAGCACCGCAGTTGTGGGCCTGCACCCCGCTCTAGGGATACCCCTCTTTGCGCTCCTCCTCACACGCATACCCCGCTCGCTTTTCGTCTACGCGCTCGCAGCACAATTCAGCCATTACGACCTCGCCGCGTGCGCGCCCATGTTTCTGCTTAGTACAGGACCGTCGTCGATACTCGAGGAGTGTGCTCAGCGCACGTGCGCCGTGTACCTGAACAGGCTACTCGGGCTCCAGACGCGTCGCGTGGAGGTCATAAAAGAGAACCTGCGCTAGCCGCTCGGCATTTATCGCCGGTGATCCGCGGTGGACTGCTGCAGCGTCGAGTCGTAAGCCGGTCTGGCACGGGCGTCGGCGTTGACCGCGGCGTATCTGATATGAGAGGCGCACCAGGGTAAGTAGAGGCTGACACGCAGCGTCTGTTTCACGTTGATGTTCTCGATAGAGCTAACGGCGGCGTTGATAGAGGTGACGTTTTCAAACATGACAACCGGTATACGATGCGACGCATGCAAAACGGTCTACGGCCAACGCCTGGTCCAAGCGCTGAGCAACAGGGCCCTTCAGAAGGTATACCTGGCCTTGTGCTCAATCAGCTATGGCAGGTCATTTTTCTGCGTGAAGAGTATGATTTGATGAACAAATGACAGGCGAGCGAGGGGACGAAGGGAACGAAGAATAAGAGCTTTCATACAACGCGAGCCCCTAAAACACACAGATGTTTGAGATCAATAACTCTCTTTCATATATATATATAAAGTCAGACACTATCATGAGTGCTGGAAGGCTATTGTCGCAGCTATACTTCATATAAATCTGGTCCAACCATGCTCGGCGGCCTTCAGTATGTTCGATGTCTAACAGCTTAGAAACTCCACGAGCGAGCTGCGCGGCGTCGCTGCCATTGTACGACATTGCTCCGCGGTACTGCTCTCAGGCTAAGTCAGACTTGGCGCTTTAGGGAGTGCTACATTGTTGTGATACGCGTCCTGAGCACTCTGTCGGGGCCAACAAACCGCTCAGGATGGAGGTCTTGCGTGACGGTACGCAGTAGCGGCACCTAATATGTCACTTCCGGCCGAATGAGGATTAAGGTCAAGAAATGCTTCTTGCGCAATCTCATTCACTTTCATATCAAACCCTTCACCGTCACGCAGCGAGATTTTGCACGTAAAACACATCGAGATACGCAGTTTCTCTGCTGTTTCATGCTGCTTATAGTTTCTCGATATCGCCCTGAGAACATCATCACACGGAACGAGCACGAGCAATACGCCCTGCGCCAGGCAACACAGAAGCCCAAGGAGGGCGCAGACCGTAAAAGCACGATACTGCTGTAGACTATGTGACTGACGTTAGTCTCGAGGATTCGCCTCTGCTCGCACTCACCATGAGCCTTAGCTACTCGTCAAACATGACGACGTCAAGATGCCCTTCTTACTCGGGATCGGGAACCGCGATTTTACAAGAGCCGCCATACTTTTCTTCAAGCTCTCACGCATATTACTATCTTGCTTCTGCCTCTGTGCACGGCTTCACAGCCAACACACCTCCCACAGTCCTGGCTTCCACGCGTCAACATTGTCCAACCACGAGAGATGCTTCTTGGCCTTAGCGGAGAATAGGCGCTGGAAAGCACCCTCGTCATCTGTTTTGCTGTTGAAGATGATTGCAATGAGCAGCGTTTGAAGGCTCTTCGGTGTGCTGGAAACGATCTTCGAGACCGTGCGCAGCGAAGCAGTAGTCATCGGAAAGCAATCAAACGTTCCCGTCGGGAAGGTGACGCGACGCTTCAACATAATCGGGACGTGGCATTTGCTCAGCCTTAGGCACTGAACGTCTTCATCTCGTGCTATGTATCTTGTAACTTTCTTGTATGGCAAACAGACCCGCACACGTACCACGTTCAATATTCGCAGTGAACTGTGCTATGGAGTGGTGAATAGCATGCTGCAGACAGACTCTTCAGCGACCCTCAGGAAACAACTAGAGCAGAGGGGTAATGAGCGCGTAAGACCGCACTGCGAAGGTCTCAACGCGCACCCTGGCAGGTAAGTGCAGGGTCCGGCGGACATACTTCGTCGAATGATACGTGTGAGGCTTGGAGTTCGCGCATATAGGATATAGGACGGGAATATCAGCGTTCTCATAGCGTAGTTTGTGTTTGCTTTCGCCTATACAATGTTGAGAAAAGGCGGTCGAGGCTATGGCGAACAACGGGGTGGCGGTGATGTTCAAACCGGAGTATCGAAGACGTGACCCGTCGTCGGGGTGTGACTGTCAGATGGGAAACATGGCTCAATATCGATGCAGCATCTAAAACGCCCTCTAGAGGCAGAGGAACGAGGACATATTGGAGATCATCGAGCAGAGGGTCCAATTGCTAGCTGTGGAAGACATTGCTCGGAGTCACGCGCCTCCACAGGCGACAGACCAGGGCGCAGAAAGCCAGAGTCCGGTGGTCATAATGGAGATGCTCGAGGATATAGTCGCAATCGATGAGTTCCTGGGGAAGGTGGGAGGACAGCGTCTAGAAGAAGAAACAAGTTCTTTGAGATGCTTTGAAAGCGACTGCCGAAGTCGCTCGCCACGGTCGGTCGCGGTTGGAACGATGATGGCCGCATCACTGGCTGCGGAATGACATCACTTTGTGGCGGCACCGGTTCCGGATTGATCCAATTTCAGACAATTCCTGTTGCGAAACAGTCTTTCTCGGGTCTTCCATTTACAACTCTATTACTCATCGCGGATGTTCAACATCTCAACTTCGCACTCCAAACTTTACAGAGCTGCTATTGCACGAAAGCAGTTGACAGAATCTCCGGCTAGCATACATCCTCAGATGTCCGACGTTGCCCATGTATGCCGAAGACGTCACCTCGCCTGGGCCATACTGCTCAAGCACCTATCAAGGGAGGTCAGAGCGCTTCTTTTCTTTCAGCTTAGGAGTTGCCGTTCGTACAGTTTTCCTGTGTGGTTGCTTTGGGAGAAACTTTCACGAGGGATCGGAATCAGGATGAACGACGTTAACGCTGTACGCGTAGAATTGGGCCACAGCAAGAATATGTCACCTGCAGGAGGCTGCGAACGGTTCAGAGCTTGGACCATGCAATCCCGAAACGGTAGCTTCCAACGTGTCAGATCGCCTGGCTCTTACGCCAGCACAATAGTTCGGCCCACAGCCTTAGGACGGGGACGACATACGTTTCTTACCCAAGGTCCTCGGAGTGACGCTTTGAGGCTGACTGTGCTGTCTCACAACAATCTCAGAGGGCACAGCATACGCCACGATGCAAGTTCGGTCCTCGTGGCTTGTGACCAAGGTTGCCAGGCAGCGGCGGATTAAAAGGAGAGACTGCCCACAGGTAATGCATTGAGGGAGGGCCCCTGTATACTCACTGTTAGGTTACACCCTGATGCAGTCCTGATGAGAGTGCAAATTGATGCTGTGTGGGGCTGAGAGGTGGCCAGGCGGGAAATCCTGAGGTGCTTTCAACAAGATCGGAGGACTATCGCATCAGATCGTCATCTCTGATCTGGAGCACATTCCACTACGGGCATGAGCTGGTTTCAGATCACCTGAAATGTCCTGGTCAAGCCATCAAAACTGTTTCATTTTCGAAGACTTAACCGGGGCTTTCTGGTGTCCCAAAATTGATGTGGACTTGCGTCAACACACCACTAAGGATGCTGCGTGGATCTAACTAGGAGGCGGCGCCGACGAGGTCTGGCGACTACTGTGTTAGCTTATTCAGCTAGCCCAATTAACCAAGTTATATTAGTATCAGTACTACGATACAAAAGAAGGCTCACCTAGCCCAATTAACCAAGAGGTTGAGATGGGGCTAGGTAGCGACAAGGGGACCCTTTATATACTAGTCAGGCTGCGCACGGACCAGGCATTACATAAGCGGCTGGTGCTACGGCGACTGCTAGTGTCTAGGGGACTTAGGCGGAGAAACGAGGGCCGGCTTGTCATATCTGATGACGTTGTCGGGCCGACGGGGATCGGATATCCGATGGAGATCGGAGTGCGGCTGTTACCGAAGAAGCGTGATGCGGCGACGAGGCGGCGGCGATGTAGGCGCGTTTGATGTGCTGATGCGTGCCTGTCGGTGATGCGTTCTCT